TGGTGCTCTGTTAGCAACAATCCATGGCTGAGAGTCTATAATGGCTGTTGCTGACATCAGAATTGTTTCCTGTGAAAGGGAAGGCATAAATAGATATTAATCTCTAATTAATGCCTTCTATAAATACAGGATATCTATATAAATTAACCCCTGGGAAAGGCCTTCCCCGCCATCTTTTCAAGTATTGTTAAAATGGGCAGGGACCAATATGTGAGGGAATAAATATTCATCAAGTTGTGGCTCTCACAGCAGAGATTGGACACAAATTTTTACTCACAAGGGTGGGGGTGGCAAGGCTGTGATCCCAGTAGGAGCTGAGAGTTGCTGCTCCCAATTTTTTGGGATGGGTGCCCTCGCTTTTGTGGGCACTGGGACTACAAGGATATGCACATCTGCTTTTAATTCAGAGGCCAAAACCCAGTTAAATACAAGTTCTATAACAGAAAGAATTGACAGAATTTATCCAAAAGCTGATTTTCCCCCTGAATGGAGTTCTGATTGAAATATTGCACCGAGGAGGGAAAAACTGAGGCAAGCATGGGCCTCAACTGGAATTGAGGAATTGGGAAGAGGAATGTGTGGACCTCTCTTTGTCCCAGACTGTGAAATTTGTGTCATCTGCCTCACAACAGGGCTGGGATTCCAGAAAACAACACGTGCAGGGATCAGGTGTCACCCAGCCCAAAGCAAAGGACAACTGCTGGCAGGGAGGGCACCCTTTGAGGGGCAGAGCTGGGGGGCACCAAAATGAGAATTTGCTCACCAGATTCTCGTCTGTCAAATTGTAATAGAACTCATCTAATTTAATGTGCAAAGAGCAAAATGTGGCTGAAGTCCCAGTCTGAGATCCAGCTCCAAATAGAACAGGTGTTCTTGCAGAAGGAGGTTAGGATGTGAAAGTAAATGTGGATAAATGTATTGGGTTTTCATTTAAAAATCACAAAATCCTCCAACCACCACCACCACCAAGAACAAAAAAACCCCAAACAAACAAAAACCAGAAAAAATACACACAAAAAAAAACCCCAAAAAACCAAACAAAAGAAAAAAAAAACCAAAAACCAAACAAACCAATAAACAAAAACCAAAAACTAACTCCCTACATGTTTTTGAACTTTGGGAAATCAGAATTTTGACTTAGCAGGGTCATGCCTGAGTTGCAGGCTCCTTATGATGAACCTGCCACTCTCAGCTGCTTGCACAGGAAGGGAAATCAGTGGAAAATGATGTTGAACTATGGGAAAAAGGGGAATTCTGCTCGAGTTCTTCCCAGGCTGTGAGTGCTCCAGTCTCCCTGCCTGGCCTGGCAGAGCTTCTGCAGCCAGATGTGGCCAGAGTGACTTGTTCAACTTCTGAATACGCTGTAGTGTATTTCCTGTGCATGAAAAGAACTGCTTTTAATTAATAAAATTGGTTTCTTACCGTGTACTCTCAGTGCCAGCTCCTACTCTGTATTCATGTCCCATTTTTCAATCCCTTGAACCCATGGGAAAGCCCTTATGGAAAGGTCTGCCAAAGAATCTGGGCTGCCATTACTTCATGTTCTTCCTTCAGGGAAGGGAATTTAATATTGTTATCGGAAATTTTTTCTTTCCTAATTGCTTCCTTTGCAAGCCCTTTTCTGAGAGCACTGGAGCACTCAGAATGTCTGAAGAGGAGAAAGGATTGATCAACCTGAAGCATCGACAACCATTTGTTTCTGGAATAAACCCATGGTTAGATGGATCATTAAAGTGCAGGAACAGTCATTTCCTGAGGCTTGGGAGAGGCTGCTGTGGCTGGGACAGAAATAGTTCTGGCTCAGGCTGGAATCTCTCGCTCTGGGTCAGGTGTTGGAGCTGGCTCTCCTGGCAGAGCTTCTCTCAGGGCATCAGGCAGGTGCATCCCTTCTCCAGATAAAAATATGCTGGGAATTCAAATGAGGCTTGGTCACTGATCCCTGGAGTGCTTGGAGTTAAAGGGGCAGCGCTGGTGACTCCTGGGGTCTTGAGGTGACCCCAGGAGTGTAAAATCCTCATTTCCCAGCCCTGCAGCCAAAGGAGGAGTCTGGATGTGCAGGATCAGCTTCTCAAGTTATTTATTTTCCCTTATCCAGAACATTCTTTCTCTGACCTGCTGAGCTCTGTCCAGCAGCTCGGCCATGGCATTCTGTCTGCCCTCAGGGGGTGTTTTGTTTGCATTTTATACCAAAAACTGCCTGTGCCATGTTTACAATAACATGCCAATATCTGTCATTTATGTTGGACAGTGTGTCTGTACCTTAAACCAACAGAAAAGTGTCACCAGCACAGCAAGACATGGAGGGCAAGGAGAAGGAGAAGGAGGAGGAGAAGGTCAGGACACACCCAAATCCCTCCATCTTCTCCCCCTATCCCCATTCTAAAAACCCCAAAATTCTACTTTTTCACCCTGTGTTAACTCAACTACCACACTACTCAAACCATTGTGGCTTGTAATTCCTCATACAAAGCTGGCAGTTTTTCCCATGGGCTAAAATGGAAGCCACAGGTGTTTTTGACTTTGTGCCAGGGTCTCTGAGCCCCTGCCAGGGTCTGGGGACAGCCAGGGCAGCCAGAGGGATGAGCTGGGTTCCCACACCCGGGTACAGAGAATTATTCCATGCATAAAGGAGATGGGAAAAGGTCTTTTCTCCAAGTGAGCTCTGCTGGAGTTCAGTGGGGATCAGGGTGAAAAGTCAGCCTGGTGACAGCACCAGCATTTCCTTGGGTAACAAAGGCATTACCAAAGCTGGATGAATCCCTTGTGGATTCATTAGACAATTGCTGTGGGCATTCTGAGGGTTTGCAATGCCTGCTGTGCTAAAGGATCACACCAGAGCTCTGACCCTCATTTGTACTTGTTGTTGCAATTAAATGAGGCTCTTGTGCAGCTGATGAAAGATTCCACGGGAGATCAAACTCATTAACACATGGAAGAAACCTTCAGGACAACCTCCAAAGGGCTGCCCGCGCCTTCCCCGGGGCAGGGAGGTGGTTGTGTGAAGGTTCACATTCTCTTGGTTGAAATTCAGGAGTGACGCTATGGGGGTTTGATTGCCAGAGCCACGGAAAGATGGTGAAATGTTATTTTTGGTATTATGAGGTAGCCAGGAATGCTTGTGACTGTGTGGTGACAAGGTAGAAATCATGACAAGATGTGGGAGAAAAGGGATCAGAGAAGATGCAAAGCTACCCAGGCTACTTTTGAAATATTGGCATTTTGTCTGAACTGTGGATTTTTGCTTCTTGGACTTAAAAAGAAAACAACAAACCATATTTATTTGAGTTTCTCTTTTTAAGTGGGTGTTTGTGGAAGGCATTCTGTTTGTGTGTGTACACCTGGTGCATGGATACCAAGGTGACAGATTCTCCAGAAATCCATCTGAAGAGCTGTCAAGCTATTAACTTACAGAA